AGCTCATGGAATGATCTTTTCATCGCCGCCAATTTTACTTGATTCCGAGTTCGTATGAGTGAGTTATGCCTTTTGGAAGTTGGGCAGTTGGCAGGGAAGGTCCGCCCGGAAATTTGTAAGGGTATTTTGGTCTTTTCCCTAACCAATTCTTTTGGTTATATTAATGTGTTAGACTGATTTTTAGATCAGTTTTCCCTTTTTAAAAGAGTGAGAGTGAGGGTTTGTGAGTGAAGAGGAGAAGAAAGACAAGATCAAGCAAGGTTTCGTCAAAGATCGTCGTGGATATCGTCGGGGGTGATCCCTACTAGGTATGTGAGTTCATAGTGTTGGGTTGGTTCTTTCCCCCACACACCAAAATCGTTTTATTTCCGAGAAAAGATTGGTTGTGTTGTTGAAGTTGTTGGTTGTATTGTTGATGTTGTTGATTGTGTTGTTGAAGTTCCTTGTTGATTTGGGACATGCTTCCGGTTGTGTTTCCGGGTTAAATCTATTGTATGTTGAGGGGTCTTATGATATTAAGTGTTTGGGGCTGGAAACTTTGAGGTTGAGAAGGTTTAGAGTTGGAGAAATGAAGGAAAAAAGTCGAGTTTTTGGGGAAAAGGGGTGGCGCGTCGCGCCTTGCAGAGCGCCCCAAGAAGTGTTTTGAACTTCTCTCCTTGGGGGGCGCGCCTAGAAGTGCGTCCCAACTGCCCTTCTGAGCTTTGTGGTCTAGCGCCCCGCGCCTCTCAGAGTGCCAAGGACGCCAACCTTTCCCATTCATTCCCCACTTTTTCATGCATGTTCCTTAGTATTGTACCTATGTTTTATAGTTGTTTCTAATACTCCAAGGTATGTCTAAACGTCAAGAATTCATCCATAAACATGTTATCATATACCTTGAATCCATAATCCAATTCAAGGCGAGTTAGGATCAAGTCAAAGTGAAGTTAAGGGTCAAGTCTAGAAGTTAAGAAGCGAGTCAAAGCAAGTTTTCAAAGTTTTTCAAGAGTCGTTATTAAACGTTTTAACTTCATTTTAAAACTCAAGTTTCAACTTAAGTAAAGAGTATACAGTTTTAAGTTAAGTAAAGAGTATAGAGTTTCAAGTTAATTAAAGAGTATAGAGTCAAGTTCATTTCTCAAAAGTTATTAGGGAACTAAGTATTCCCAAATAAGTTTATAAATGTTTTCACATTTAAGATGAGAGGAAATTGAGATTTCCAAAAGAGTTTTGAGCAGTTTGAGTACTATCTCCTTTAAGAAAAAGATGAGTTTTGCGAAAGAGTTTCTAAAACATGATTAGTATGAAAAATCGAGTATGTCATCAATGTTTAAACAGTATGGTCTCTAGATATACCATCAATGTTTATGCAGTATGACTTCCCGAGTCATCAATGATCATATAAAAATATGGTTTTGATATGTTCTTTTTAGAAAGAGTTTTCAAGAGCAATTACCTCTTTTAAGAGGGTAGTTTGCGCAAGTAATTCAAATTAGAGAAAGAAGTTTGTTTTTAAAACATATGGGCTAAAGTATATTTTTGGGAGTAGTCTTGAGCACCGAATTGGGGACACGAGTTCATATTAACTCAACTCTCCATAAGAACCATGTGGCCAACATGGGATTTAACGGGTCATACTTTTTAGATGATCACGTAAGTTAAGCTAGTGGATCCACTAAGTTAAAGTTAAGTAGTTCTATATAACGACAAAGTATAGAACAGTTCTGGCAGCGTGGACAAGACGTTGTGTCACCACTTAGGTCATAGTGGTGGTTGTCGGTTAGAGAAACTCCCACAGTAGAAATTGCATGGTTCCTCGAGGGGTTCTGCTTAGTATGGATGGGGGTATGGGACTTCATTCATGCATTGCACAAGTAGACTTTGAGAGGAAGCATGGTATTTTTATGATATTATAAATATGATTTTGACGTCATGTTTTAAATAGTTTTGCAAGCTATATATATTTCATGTGTCTTATTGCTTTATATTGAGTTCAGTTATTCATGAGTTGAATAAAGCCAAGGTAAGTTCTCTTTTATACCCCTTTTCAAGCTTAAGTTGTTGTTTAGCGGTCCAGCTCACATACTCGTACATTCCATGTACTGATGCCAGTTGACCTGCATTTTTTTATGATGTAGACACAGGTACCTAGGATCAGCATCCAGCACGCCGTTGATCCAGTTGAGCACTCCAGAGTCTGTGGTGAGCCTCCTTGTTTTCCGGAGGACTCGGTTATTTTGTTTCTCTTAGTTTTGTTTTATTAGGATGTTGCGGGGTCTGTCCCAACATCCATCTCAGTATTATAGAGGCTTCATAGACAGTCAGTCAGTTAGTATTGAGTCTCTCATTTATATATATATATAAATATTCTATTTTGAGACTCGAGTTGCCTTTTTGGCCAGATTTTATCAGTTGAGTTATTCTGTTGAGTTAGGTTTCCGCTGAGTTAAGAAAGCCAGGCCAAGTGTTCGCTTGGGGCCAGCTATGGTCTCCGAGTGCCGGCCACACCCAGGGTGTAGGCTCGGGGCGTGACAGTACGTTTATTGCTGCTAAAAGTTGTTTTTGTCGTACACTTGTAGTGAAATGTCGCCTATGACCACTGATTAATTTATTCACTTTTGTCATTTTATTTTAAAATGTAATGTTTTATATTTGTTTTAAAGTGCCTACTTGGGAGAGCAAAAATGATGCTCAAAGGAAAGAAGAAAAGCATAGACTTATTAGCAACACAAAAGAGAGAAATGAATAAAAGAAAAAGAGACTCTTTTTTTGTATTCACCAAATAATAGGATGTTCTGTTCTTACAAAATCAGGGATCAGAGTATGTAAGAGAACTCGATGATACACAAAGCAGAAGAATACAAAATACTAATAAAACTGTAGATAGATTTTAGTTAAAAGTATTTGAACATTCTAACTTGTTAGGTACACAAGACTTTTTACATTATTCTTCGTAGGACCGTCTCGTATTAACATGCAGACGATGACTTCTAAGTCTTTAAGCCAAATTCATGATATGCTTGCAGTGTGATTCATCAATTACTAGTGATTACGATAAGCTACAGTACTAGCTGATTAAGCAATACTACTCTTTCTATTTCATGCTTCTTCTATTCTTGTGCTGTTTTTTCAAGACTTTTCACATTTAGTTAATGAGGGAAATTCCATCTATATGATACACAGTGATGGAAAATAACCAGAGGCTGTTTCCGTAAACCCTCGACTCAAGACAAAGGTGTAGTGATCAAATAAAAAAATGATGCACAAGCAAAGAAAACTGATGAGAGACTAATTGTATTGAAGGATCACAGGTTTCTGTCTTTTGCTTTTATAGATGGCTTCAAAAAATTCCACAATTCATTTTAGCTTTAGACATGAGGCTCCACATGACAGTTGCAACAACTAATCCACAACTATGACCACTGATTCCCACGTAAATCCACTAGCAAAATACGACTCTTCTTCGGACTCCAATAGATGAGGAACAGCAATCGGTCTGATAAGAACATTGAGAGAGAGTTTTTAGTCTGCCTCGAATTGTAGTCTTGTCAGTTCCCTTGGAATCTTTCCAGTGAGCCAATTCCAGAGAGCATTTTGCCCATTATTAGCCATTTCTGTAGTTTTGACTACTCTTCAACATCAATTTTCACAAATGTTAACTTTCTAATATCAAGTAATTTCAATCATGAACCAAACTCTATATGCTTATTGCACTTCTTTTTCCAATTTTCTTGTATATGTTGCTCAGGCTCTCCAAAAATGTGATGATGTTGCACCAATGTTGGTTCCTTAAAAAATACATAACTTTTGAAGAATCTAACATGTACCTGTTGACATTTTAAAATAATCTAGTAACATAGTTTTTAAGATAGTACTAGCTTTGATGCACGTGCATTGCACGTGAATGCTAAATCATGTAATACGCTATATTTTAAATTAAATAAATAAATATAATATAACATATTATAAATTATAGAAAATATACTAAATTAAGTAGTTTTTAAGTTGAAAATATTATAGCAATTTAACATTAGTATAGATGGATAGGTAGGAATTTGAACTCCTATTTTAAGTCATTCTTGTCTAACTTTCCATCAACATCTCTTCTTCTGTTTTCCACAATACTTTTCAAAGAGAGAAACTATTGTATGACCAAGTCAATTGACAAAAAAATAAAAATAAATGAGCAATAAAGACATGATGTTACTCTATTTTATCTTCCCTATGACAAGAAGGGAAACTTTAATCAAACAAAACCAACTTGTATGAATGCAATAAATTTTAGTGTAATTTTTCCACGAAATCTATAAAATCATAAAAGTCAAGACGCGCCATTGAACCAATTATGAGAACAGTTAATAGAGAAACCAATTATGAGAATGCAATAAAATTTGTATGCAATTTTTCTATGCAATTTATACAATCATAAAAGGTCAATATTCCAAGTTAATAATTAGTTGTCTCTTCTGCTATTTTCAAATTTGTTAGGTACACAATAGTTTTCCCATTTTTTAAGTTAATGAGGGAAAATCCATCAATATTCGATTCCACCTAAGGAAAAAAGTGATACAGTATTGTAACTAGCGGACGATGACGTGTAAGCCTTTGAGCCAATTTCCACTAAGACTAGAGGAACAAAAAAGATTATGATGAATCGGGACTGATGAACAATTGAATTACAAGATGAGTACTAGTCACTTCTAACAACTTGTTACTCATATTTTGTAATGTTCCACAAGACTTGTAAGAGGACGGAGAAGACTTAACAAAATAATACTCCCTATGTCCTAATTTTCTCTGATGTTGTATTCATTTCGAAGTCATTAACTATCTCTCTGTTGTGTGTTACTAACGCAAGATGATGTGAAATTGGTCCCATTATGTAGAAAAAAATTCTGCAAAACTTGTAAGAAATTTCCAATGAGAGAAACTATTGCTTGACTAAGTCAAGTGAGGAAAAAAAATGAAAGAATAATTAAAGACATGATCAACTGAATTACAACTTTGCCGCGAAGACTCACCAGTTTGAGGAATTAAGGATAATACTTGATTCCCTGAAGAATAGTCGTCCAACATTGCTTTGCCTTGGCGCTGGCCAGAATTTTGGCGCACCAAATTTTGATTTTGAACACCACTCTTTTCAGCCCCTACATCTAAATCTTTAACAGTTTCTTCATCATCCTTTTCACCAATTTCCAGCCTGTTTAAATCAGTTTTTTAGGAATTGAGATGATCATGAAGATCTCCTTGAAATTTTTCTCCTTCAATATGATTTTCACTGACCATGGCATCAACTTGACCATCGGAGAGTTCGACAATCAGCTTCTCTATGCCCCTGATGATTACATCTCTTACAATAATATGGTACATAATCATACCTGATTTTTTGCCATACGTTTGTAATTTCGCCAGTGACTAAATCTTTGAATTGAACTCTAATTCTTTTTGGAAGGATCCTTAAAAGATCCACCACGACTTTTACCCTTGCAGTACTAGGTCGTGTTTTATCATAGGTCGCTCAATCCACATCAAGAGGTTGTCCAACTGCCGAAGCCATAGAAAACAGAGCATTACAAGCAAAATATTGACAGGGTAAACTTGGGAAAGAAATCCACGCCATTGCAATGGAGGTTTCTTCCCTAGGACTAAAAGAGGGAGTCCACTTTTGGATTCTGAATGGTATAACAGTACCAGCGAACTTAATCGACCTACTAGTTTTTGAAAAGATTGCAATATAATCTTCCTTTAAAGTGAACCACAGCAACACGTGCCGACTTTCTAATAACCCAATGTTACATTCACCCTTAAATCCTAATTGTTGAGACAATATTTTCGGTAAATCTGGAAGTTCAGGCCTTCCATGTGAGAATTTGGCAATGAGAGCGTATTTTAAATTCTCCTCCGTGATAAACGCTTCTATGTCTTTGGAGTCAAACACCAGTGTGGGTTCTCCATGTAAAAGAATGACTGGTTTGAGAAATTTCTCACTAGATTGTTGGTTCCCGCTGATTGACGAAGCATATGTACGATTTATCACATACCACTTGAACACAATTATAATTCCCCCACTCAGAGTGCCCAGTTGAATTTGTTGGTGCCCACCCATTTATTGTTGCTCTTTGAAATTTTATTCTACTTGTGTTTAGTCGTAGCATTATAAATGCTAATCTTTTCATGTTATATCAATAAGGTAGAAAAATATATCTTAAATGTTGGCTAAAGTTCATTTGATTTAACTCTTAAAAAGTGAAACTATATATTTAAAATAAATCACCACCACCCAACATATCATGAAAATTTTATGCTTACACTTTCTATGAGATAATATCCATAGCTAAGCATATTAAACGTAGACAAAATTTATATTATACATAAAAAGTTCTTATAAAAAAATAATTGAAAATATAAATAAATCTATAATTTAAATTAAAGTGCAAGAAAGTTATAACCAATAATTGATAGTACATCTTATTAGGTATTTGTGGTTTTATAATTTTAATTTATCTTTTAATAATTATATTTTAACATACTTAATAATA